CTCCTCTGCATCACTAATAATGTCAAGTAGGAGGTCAATCTCCCTCTCGCTACTCTGAAGGTGAGCATTAATAAGGTTAATATTCCATTAAGAGTGTTAGATCATACAGACTCTCTAGTCCTTCGCTTAACACAATAGATAATTCCTTGACCCTTCACTCAATGTTCTTCATTTGCTATGATACCAGTTCAAATGATTTGAGTAAACCAGAGTTGACAGTGGCGTATTTTTTCTGGAGATGTAACACTTCGTGGACGTCAGTATTAAAGTTAGCAGTAGCTTTTCACTGCTTTCGTCCATAACCCCGAATAGATCGTGAAAAAGTGTACCCATAAAAGAGGATGCCATGCACTACATGTCGTGTCAGTGTTTAGAGTGGTCCACGACACGCACAATTCTGGAATTTTTCACTACAACTGTCTACTGCCATTTTCAGCATCTCAATTCTTGTGGTTAATCTCCCCGTGAGTCCCTTAACTGAAATTTTGATGGTCCATGGTTATCTGCAATCTTAATTTTCATTTTCATAATCTTCAGGATTCCAATGCTCATGTTGTTAATCATTGTGCGACAGGGCTTCAGGTATTGTACTCGGAAAAGGTTCCAATTTACGTCAGACAGTCGGTCGTCCTTGAGGATGATCAGGCATCATCATCTCCTCCGACCCACATCAACACCATTAATCTGTTGGAAATATTTAGCATTAATAAGTGTATCCACAACATAGACAATGAAAGTAGGAAAGAAAGAAAGATAGGTGTGTTTGTGTTTGTTGATTAGTGATAATTGCTACTCAGTACTTGGTAATACATATTAGCATGCTTGAATTTTTTATTCTCGTATTTCTTACCTTCATGCAACTCCTTATAGTAACCCTCAGGATACACTCTGTGTCTCGTTACTCTACAAGCTACATCTTTTTCATTCGCACTGATCTCAACATTTACACTGGAATTTTCATTCATGCTAGTCCTGTTGTCTAAAGGGACATTATCGGATGGATCCACATCTCCATGACTGTCCTCTGTTCCAATGTGAGTGTGCTGTTCGCCATGGTTGTTTATGTTAGTTTCTGGTAGACTAGACATGTTGATAGTACTATTAGCCATCTCAGATGTATCTGTTTGTGTTGTGTCACGTTCATTAGTTGTATCGTTTACACCCTCTGATGCATTGCAAACTTCCGTCTCACTGTCTTCAACATTATTAACTTTGTCACCCTAGTTGGTATTATGGGAGAAGTCTTTATAACGGTCATCGTCACTGTCACAAGCCTGGGCTGGGGTTATTGTGTCAGAAGAAACTTGTCTCACATATGTTCGAAATGGTCGACGGGCTTCAGGAGCCAAATGACGGGAAATTGAAGCTTCAGGTATGATCTTCACCCAAGCTCCTCAAGCATGTAGGTATGCCCCTTCAGTTTTTCAATGACCCGATGGAGAACGCCAAATAGGGGTCAGCTTGTTATCACCCTTTTTCTTCATTCTCTTCACATAGACACGTTGGCCAGTCTGCAATTCAGTTGATTTTGCCGTCTTGCTTCTCTGTCGCTCACGTCAAACTGCAGCTTGCTCCAAGTTCTCTCTAACTTGCTGGTAGATCTTCAAAGTTGCTGCAGCTTGCTCGTCTATGTTGTAAGGTGAAGAAAGATTGGGTATAGCTGTATTAGGGATTATAGGGTCGGTGGCATACACTGCATAGAATGGTGTATCCCCTATTGAACTGTTGTAGGCGCTATTTAAGGCTAGTTGGGCGGTAGAAAGATGTATGTCCGAGTCTGCTGGCTGCAAACCATCTATTATACTGCGGAGTATTGATATGATTTGCTTGTTGTGATTCTCCACAAGTCGATTGCTGGCTGGATGGTAAATGGTTACAGTTTTGTGTTGGAACCCTCCAAGCTTTGTCAATCTTTTCATGACGCGGTTCCTAAACTCAGTGCCTTGATCACTTAGAGGGTCCTCATTGACATATAACCATACTCCAAATTGCGCTAGCTACCTCTTCTGCTTCCTTACTGCTCAAGGGAGTCACTAGTGTGTAGCACGTAAGGAAATCAACACACGTCAAATGTATTTATTACCTTTTGCGGTGATAGGTAATGGTCCTATAAGGTCTACGGCAACTGATTGGAATTTGCTCTCTGGTATGGGATATCTACCGAGTGGACATAGTGGATGTGCCTACCCTTGAATTTCTGGCAGACGATGCAAGAAGCAACATACTGCTTGACGTGTCTGTCAATACCCATCCAAGTGAAAAGTCTCTTTGTGCAGAACAAAGTTTTTTTGCTGCTCCATGGCCAGATAAAGGACTACTGTGCATCATGTGTAGCACCCTATTGACCATCTTTCTGGGAACAACAATGACGTTCTCAACACTTCTGAGTGAGTCATGCGCTAGTTGCCTTTTGTATAGCAGATTGTGGTCGAGGAAATAATTGCCAATTTCTCTTTTTAATCTACTATCGACCTTCTCAAGGTCTTTGGGTTCTTTGCTCTTTAGGAACCTTACAATACGACCATATAGAGGATCGTCCCTCTGTGACTCTCAGTTCTTCTGGAGTCCAATCTAATTCTCTAGGTTCCTCTTCTTCCTCTGAGACACACCTATGTTTCCTATAATCTCTATGCCTAAACATATTAGCTCTTCGAGGAAACATACTGCCAGAGGTTCAACCTGGAAGGAAGTCTCTGAGTTTGCAGTATTGCTTGTAGCAAATATAATGTGACTGAGCCGGTCAGCTACTACATTCTTTTCCCCTTTTATGTATTTGACTTCAGCATTGGCCTGTTGTAATGATAATACCCAACGTGCTATCCCATAGCAACGCCCTTAGAAACGAAGATGGAAAACTCGGCGGTCTTTGGCAATCCCGGTTGTGACGTCATTCCCAGGACCAGGGAGAAGCTTGTTGAATAACGTAATACACACAGTGCATCGGCGAGTCAAGGATATCATGGAATTGTCCCAGTTTCAAGCTAATAAAGTTTGTATCAAAGGATGCCGCGGCGTTGTGTAGCAATTCATTGTTCCCATTCATATCACCGGCTATTTGAATGGCCAAAAGACCATGCCAGAGCAAGGAAGTGGACATGTTTTGTGCATGCCAAGCGGAGCAACTTTCAGCCTGTGCCAACCAGCGTACTTTTCCTGAAACACTTCGAGCCCGATTGCTTTGTAAACAGAATGGCTTACATGAGTTTTGCAAAACGGTAGGCCATTTCCAATTTATATTTGTCATGATCACAACAGCGCAAAACAAACTCTGAAAGAGTGCTTTTGCTTGGCGGCGTAGCAAACATTCATTGCGTGGATACGACACAGTGTGCCGAGTGCACTGCAAGTGTGCATGTATTACTACACAGAGATAGGGTAGGTACACCTCAAAAAGCATAACACAAATAAATACCGATGCCCCTCCACTCGCGAATGGATGTAGGCCTGCGCCAGGGTGCAGACAAGAGATAGCTCAGCCTGCATAAATTTTGTACCATACAGAAGCGGGATCACACGTTCGACTTTAATAAACAATTTAGAAAATTACCATTCATTCAATCTCTTCTGGTCTCGAAGCCACTCCATGTCTGGCTGGTTTGGCACAACTTCCACTACATCCGCAGCGTCGGGCTCATGCATGTACGGTCCAACAACATAGGCACCCTCTGAAGAAGTTGTACCATGTTCTCGTCGGAATAATCCGATGAAACTTCACTGATTTCACTGCCGCTGTAGTCTTGTTGTGAGTCCGCCATGTACAATGTATTGAATGTAGAGAATGCTGTGATCGCGTTCTGGAATTGACGTCATACATCCGGGTTCCGGATTTTCGCGGGAAAATATAACTTGACCGGAAAATCGAAATAAATCAATTTGGGGAATTATTTGTAGATTTCCCTTTTTACTCATATTAGAGAGATGGTTTGTGAGCTAATTCTCCCTTTAAAAAAAATTCAGTTGTTACTTCACATATGCACTTTAAGGTGGTACATTTTTTGTTGCTCTCGCAGGCTGGAATAATCTTCAGTAAGGATCACTGCATCCTCTGATGCACTATTTAGTATTTCCACTGTAGTAGTGATGTGGGTTGGCACCATATATTGATCCTTTGATTTGCTGCAAATACTAGCGGCAAGGCGATCACTCTGCCGGAAATTGTTGGCCAAATAGTCCAACAGTGTATCCCCATCAGCTAGTTTCTGCCCATGGATCAGCACAATGCTCCCCTTCTGAAGCATCTCGTTGCAGGATGGAAGAGTAACCCAGACAATAGCGGCGTGGTTAGAGGGTATCTCTTCTGCTGATTCCACACTCATTATGACCTCACGACATTTTTCTCGCCTGTCAAGGTCATTATCCACCTCTTTAAGCCCCGAACTTGATCTATGAGATCGCGAAGTTGGGGTGTCCTCTGTAGGAATGTTTTTGCCGGCATTGTTTGGTTTGTTTGTTGATGAAGACATCCGTTGTGTGGGAAGTTTGTTATTTGCCATCAGAGTGGTAATAGATGGTTGTCGAGTCTCTGAGATTGTAACTGATTCCTCTTGAATCGCACCCACTGTATAGCCTCAGGGTTTGTGGTGTTTGTTCCCCTCAAGTACATCGCTTTTAACCGAAAATCAATGACAGCACCAGAATTTCCAAGCCAATCTGCACCTAGCAACACCTGCAATCCTCAAGGGAAGCGTGGTTTTTCTGAATCTGCCACAAGAAACTCAATTCTAAGCTGTTCCTTCCCAAACTTGCAGGGTAATTGAACAATTCCTGCTGCTGGCACAGCTCCACCAGTGACACCTCGTAATCTGATGGTTGTATATTGCTGTATATTTTTTCATACAGCGGGGTATGAATAATTTTAGGGACTGTCCCACAGTCCACTAACGCTATAGTCTTGATGTGGCCTACCTTGAGACTGACTATTGAGTAGCTTGCTAAATTGGGTCCCATAGCACCTATGAGGACCTTGTCAGCCTCTTCAAGACAGCATTCTGTCTCTGGTGTTATCTCGACGGTGGCCCCGACGGACAACCTTCGCCATATTTTGCAGCTTTATCTGCTATTCGTCCATGCGTTGACTGGAACCGCCTGGTACAGTCTTTAGCAAGGTGGTTAGGATCTCCGCAAACAAAACAAAGTCTCTCTTTGTTGGTATCACTCTCTTCAGTACGTGATGCTTTAGTTGCACCACGTCCACGACCGCGGTTCCACTGAGTGCCACGTCCCCTAATGGAGTCTCCACCGCGTCCTCCTCGGCCTCTTATCTGTGTAGCCGAAGCATAGGAAGATGCACTACTCGGTCTTGCTCGACCACGGCCGTGATGTCCCGTGATTACTGATCCATCGGCCCCAGAAATTTTGGTCGGCCAAGCCATTTAGGATCTGACAGTCGGCGGGTACCATGATACTCGCTGTATCTGGTCTGGTTGAGCAATAGGTGGATGCTTCCTGCTCTTTTCCCTGCCGAGGGGTCTTCAGGCAGCGTCTTCCTGTAGGTCTCTTCTTCGACAAGGTGTTTGCTCAGTCAGGTTCATCTTGTTTACTTCTGCATCGTCCCAAACTGTTGCCTTATTCTTCCGACGCCATTTCCTGGTGGTTCTATCAGATGCGACTCTCTCTAAAGCGTGCAACAGCAATATTTTGTGCCAGACTTGTACTTCCGACTTTTCCAATGATGCTAACTCGTTTATCATATGTAAATAACCATCAGGGGCTGCAAAATCGCTCCATGACTGTGAGCGATATCTGCACAGTCAGGAAGTCCAGGAGAGATACCTGGTCATATCGCTCTCCCTTCTTAGTGGCGCAATACCTCTCAGGCAGCCCCGGAACGTTTTCCAGCTCCATTTATTTGGATCGATCCCATTGAAATGCCGATGGATACTTTCATCAGTGTGTTTAAGAGCGAACGTGATTTTACCACGATCTTCAGTGATATTCAGAAACTCACATTCCTGGAGCACTTGTTTCTCCCACTGCTCCAGTTATACCTTCGCCTGATCGTTTAATAGGGGTAATTCTCCTCTTCGTGTCACCTGTATCCCTGGAGACAATACACTAGAGGGCTGACACTAGTTCTGTGTCCAGGGATTTGTTTGGAGTCTTCAGGAATCGCGACCTCCGTCTTCACACGGGACGCTCTCCTCTTCTTTCACCGGAATTTCTTCGCGTAGTAATTTCTCCTCAAGTTCTCTTGTGCAAAGCCCGTATATCAAATTCACGGTCCTCCTCCGCTACTGGGACAATGTCATTTTCATCAGAACCTTGGTACAGAGCTGAAGCTTGGTCGCCGTCACAAGACATCTCGAAAACCCGAACGGTCAACAAAGACAAGAAAACAACTAGTGGAAAGTCTTGTAGAAGTGTATGTCATAATATTTTATGTAAAAATAGGAATATGTGTAAAGTAAAACAGAAGGAAACAAAAACACGAAAACCCTCTACGCGACAATACTGTCTGAAGGCTTTTTCAAGGTCAGTCCCGCGAGGGAACGTTGTTCAAAGTCATGCGTCACGTCAGGTCGCTTGGTTACTCATGTATGAGTTAGTGATAAAGTCCCGTCGATAATTCACACCTACTTTAAATGAATTCATAACATTCGTATAAACACAAAAATTACAATAAATATAGAACAAATCAGAAAATAATAGTATCAAATAATTCACAGAAAAAATTAGTTTCACAAATAAATGTGTTTTTAATCATGCTTTTCTGAACGCTGTGTTATTGTTGTCGTCGGGTAAAATCTCTTGTAATTAGTAGCATCTAAAATAAAACAAAAAAAAAGTAGTTATCATGCGAGGGTATTACTATCCATACAACAATGGGGTAAAAACAAAAAAATAGCAGGGTGATCTATTGGCGATGTGTGTCTCCAGTGCGCCGGGCACTGGCAGTTCTCAGGCTGGCTGAGAGAAAAGGTCTGTAGGGAATCTATTATGGACACTGGGTACTCTGGCGTCACACTCTACGTCACTCTTCCACACGTTCGCTCACTGGCTCACACTCTTGAGCTCCTTGTTGTAAAATCTCTTGTAATTAGTAGCATCTAAAATAAAACAAAAAAAAAGTAGTTATCATGCGAGGGTATTACTATCCATACAACAATGGGGTAAAAACAAAAAAATAGCAGGGTGATCTATTGGCGATGTGTGTCTCCAGTGCGCCGGGCACTGGCAGTTCTCAGGCTGGCTGAGAGAAAAGGTCTGTAGGGAATCTATTATGGACACTGGGTACTCTGGCGTCACACTCTACGTCACTCTTCCACACGTTCGCTCACTGGCTCACACTCTTGAGCTCCTTGTTGTATTCATACGTCACCCTTTCCGCGCTCGCTCATACGACACGCGTCTCTCGCTCTCTGATTGGTTCACGCTGCTCACTCGGCCACACTTGTGTTGTAGCTCTCGTTTCATGTGCTTCTCTCGTACCAAAAATTAGGAATTTATAATTCTTGAAATACCAAATAAGCACGAGTATGGAACTAAAAATAAATCAATACTTGCATGAAGACGTGCTGCAGTATCTTACTCATCCGTGAGGCATACGAGTGCAGCAGGTTGTTTGGCACTCTGGAAACTCTCTCCTCGCCGCTAATGCAGATTCGCTTCCCAGCGCATTATTATTAGTATTAGTATTATATATATATATATATATATATATATATATATATATATATATATATATATATATATATATATATATAAACGGAAAAATACGTGCGTGTACCCGGAGGCGTAAGCACAGTTTTTCGCTGCCACCATGTGTACGAATCTTGTCAATTCGTACAATTAGTGATTCTACGCAATCACTACAGGTTCACTCTGAACTAATATTATATGTCCGGTCTAGGAGTGTTACTGTTGGTGAATCGCACCTCCCATAGGTGCAAGACGCAGATCGCTTTTTAGCACTGTTCACTTAGGGGAGTTACGTAATGAGTAATGAGTAAATGAAATACTCTCAGTACTTTCTATTTACTTAGGGAACTATCAGTACATATAGGCAAAGGGGAATGGTTGTAAAGAAATATATATATATATATATATATAATATATATATATATATATATATATATATATATATATATATATTATATTATGATAAGGTAGTTCCGCTGTTGTACACTCAGACACAGAGACACGTTAACACCGGAGGATAGGCACAGACAGACAGACTCTCGCCCAGGGCAGCTGGCACTCAGGACCCCCGGCGGTGCTGACCCTGCATAGGCCTCACACAAGGGCTCCCTTCATGACATAGGCCTCAAACAAGGGTTCCCTTTTATTGGTCGTGTCGTATCATACGCAGGACACGTGAACAGTGCTTACACCCATGTATACAGAATCTTCCACTCACTCGGAATTTCCACTCATACTTTATATCATTCATACTTCTGTACTATTTGGTGGTCTTGCCACACCTCGGGCTTTCTTCCTTCTGCATTGGCTCCGATCGTAGCCTGCCTCCGATCTCTTCGCTGGTGATTCTGGCGATGTACAAGATGTAGAACATCCGGCGATAAAGCATCTCTCTGTTGTTTCGATGTTTCTTCTTTATTCTCCACGTTTTGCACCCATATAATAGCACGGACAAAATTAAGGGTTTTATGATACGGTTTTTCATTCTTATTGACAATTTTCAATCTGTGAACATTTGGTGATGACTTCTTTAGTCGATTCAAGCCCAAGTATCTACAGAATGAACACCTGCTCAATTTCTCGTTCTCCCAGTGGAGGTTACAAACTGGTTTCAACTCGGCCGCGGATTTGGACGTGCTCATGTATGTGGTCTTATCAGTTTCTCACCAGTAGAGACGACGACATTGAAGAAAAGTTGCAAACCCTCTGTAGAGGTGGCAATTAAAACTGTAGCGAAGCATGACATTTATTTTGTCCTTCAGAAACTCTATGCCTTATGGTTAGTTTCTACATAAGCTATTGTTCTTTCATTGAAGTCGAACTACCGTCTTTTGTTTTGTAGAAGTTTCCAGTCACGTATTCTTTGTCATCGGTTTGAATTTGTTTCAGGATCTTGAGTTCTTCGTGGATAAGGTAACATTATCACGCCAGTACGCCAAATATAAGAGATATATCAGAGAACTTGGAGCGAGGAGTGTTATTCCGGCTGAGCCCAGAACTGGAGTGATGTGAAAGTCCAGAGCTGTCCTGACCCGAGCCGTCTCAGGCAACGCCCCTCGGGAGGGGGAGGTCCAAATCCATCCCGCCCTGAATTGGGTGAAGGGCAGGCAAACTCCTTCGAGTCAGATGATGATGACCAGTCTGGCCCAGCCTCGGGTCCGGCCGACAGGACGGCGGCCCGAAGGATTATGTCCCTCGGCCAGGCAGGGGCAGTCGAAGGCTATTTTCCCTAGGCGAGCTAGGGACAAGCGAGGGTCGAGGGTCAACGGTTGCCGGCAGGAAGATGGTCAGTTTCCCACCGGCACGGTCAGTCTTGACCTCCCTTCTGACCAGTGGATTCTTATCTCTGTGTGAAAGAGGAGAGAAGGGTACGGTTACTGGTGTCCTTATTTTATCTTGGCCAGGCCCTTAGTGTGTCAGGTCATTCTTTATGTTCAAGATGAATATATGTATTTATATATACATAATTCCACATTAAATAAATGTGTATATATATATATATATATATATATATATATATATATATATATATATATATATAATATATATATATATATCACATCGCTCTACCAGAATGCATGGCGAGGGCTGAGATGTGTGAATTGCAGAGCGTTTGCCTTGTAGATGATTCTACCATTATGTTTGGCGCTGTTTGGTTCGCTGACGATCATGCATGAAGCATTGTATATAGCATATGAGGCGTTCGTGGTATGTCGGCTTCAGCCAAGTGAGTCAGCTGATGCTTTCCTGGTTGATCTCCGGCTGCTGGCGGCCCTGTTTGGGATCATTCCTAAGAGTGCTTTACCGTGCGCGTTCGCGGCTGGGCTAGAGTAGCACTCTTCCAGTATTGCGGCTGCTTGTCGACGGTCGGTCGTGTCAAGTTTTCATCGGTACCATTTGTTTACCATCAGAAGGGACGCTTTTCAGTTCACCAGAATCGGCAGTTTAATAACACCGGCCAACGCGCCAAGGTGACCACACACTCATGGTGAAGAACATTAGATGAAGATGCTGCCCTTGGCATCGCAGGCATTTCGGCACCTGGTGGCATTACTATGAAATCGTCATCAGAGGTGAGCTCCGTTAAGAAGCAAATACGTGGAGCCACGTCCCGGCTGCCGTTAGGGGTGGACGCTCCCGACTACAATTTGACGCTTCTCGTCGGATGTGGACAGTGACGTTCAAGTGGACAAATGGAGAAGCAACTGCATGCTTGTAGAACAAAGTTGCAATG